GATACAACGATTGTTAGCATACAATTGGCCAAAGGATCGGCTTCACTTGTCTCTTTGGCGAGTTACAGTGTGGTGCTAAGAATAACAATGCTTAGTGACGATGGGGGCTAAGCGTCTGCAAATTTGCCACGTCCACGATCCGACTGGAAAGTATCATACATAACATGGACTCAGGAATAGGTGTCCTACCAATATGACCAAGTTGAGAAAACAAAGTCAATCAACGTCTACACAACGAAAGGAGTCTACTACCGCATAAAAGGCCATACCATCTTGATCTTCATACTTTCAAAAATGAATTTTTTTTCATAAAATTCTTTTGATAAATTTATCATACAAATTTAAATATGACAATACAATGTATACAAGTTTATATAAAAAGATAATTTTCAATGAGTTTATAAGGTTATCGAATCTTACCATCAAAGCGAAACAGACAGTAAGATATCCACTACCAGACCCTACGTCCAGCACTCGTGCGCCAGGTTTCAAATGGGCTTTAAGCGCTTCCATAGCGTAGGCATGCTTAATGAGGTAAAGTGACGTATAAAGAAAACAAACCAAAATTAAAACGAGAAATAGGAAAAATAGGAAAATAAAGTATCAAAATGAATAGGCAAATGAGCAACCATGTGAGGAGCACTGATTGTGGCTGAAAAGCCGATCGACTGAGGACGATCCTCGTAAGGAGAATTCTTAACAAAAAAACTCCTATCAACCTGAAGCATCGTCTTGTAAACTTGTTCACTCGTTATTACACGATTATCTATTTTATTTATCACATAAATATGATCGTACGTTTCATATTGTTAACAAGATCCATGTTGGACCTTCCACTTGAACGCCAAGCCATCGATAGGGGGGCGATTAAAAGTAAAAGTGAAGAGTAAGGGCTAAATCTATGCATAAGCAAAATAAAAATATCGATAAAAGAGGGCGAACTTCACAAACGAGAAGAATATAAGAACGATAGTCAGATAAGACGCGCAGTTCAGGGGGCAAATTAAGAACTAACAATAGGTTACTTAAAGCACAAAAAGACCGAATCAGCTAAATTATTTAACTATATACGTTGAAGAATAAAAATTAATTCACAAAATATAATATTTATGAAAATTTTGTACATGCTTGATTTTATGATTTTATTGATTTTATGACAAGAAGATAAGTATCAGCAATTTGTCGAAAATAAAATCTTTAGTAAGCTGGATTGATATAGCACCTTATATATTTTTATTATACACTTTAAGGAAGCAATAGCCTGAGGGAAGATCAGGAAATGACTATCGCAAGATATAAAGAAAATGTATTTATTAGATCCTTTTAGTTGGGTTAATTTCTTCTCTATTTTACTTAGTCTAACAATGATTACAACGTTAATCTTGCCTAAAATAAAAGGTATTTGATTATCAAGATACAATTTTTTAAATAATTAACTCAGAGAACCAATCTACTATGGTGTTGCCAGCGCATCCAATTTACTATAAACCTGGTTAAATAAATATAGAATTTACTTATGAAATATCAAAGGAATACAATATCCGTTTTCAATTTTTATTAATTTTTATGTTATAAAAACAACGTTAACAGCAAATCTTAACAAAATATAAATTAATAATACAGAGATAAAACCTATTATATTGCAACTTCAGCTTTTCTAGACGGAGAAAGATTTTTTCAGGTAAAAACAGACTTGGATTTCGTTTGCAATATAACGAATATCATCAAAGCTGGAATTTATTATTGTAAGTCTCTAGTTTACACCAGTTCAAAAGGACTGATTGCTTCTATCCTACATGCTCTTTTTTCTCAGAACGAAAAAATATTTGGGTACAGATTATTGTAAAAGAATTTGATTAATCCTCTCATACCTGATTAGGTCCATCCCGTGTGCGTCTATAAATGTATGTACGCAATACCTACCGAAACTCAGAGCAATTATGACAGACCCAACATCGTGCCTTAAAGATTTAGTAATAGAGGATGAAGCATGACCGAGATCACCCATATCCTTATGTAACTCGGGTTGAATGTTGATATGCCAGCCTGTAGATGTGGAATTAAGGTAACGAAACGACTAGTAATGACCCGTTAGTCTCGGGTAATTAATACTTTAGTAACTCAAGTAAAAGCATGGCTGGGACCACGTAAGCTCGTTAGTCTTTTTTAATTAATAAGCTTAATTAACCCGTTGAACGAGTGTAAATTTAAGTATAACCATCACTTCACTTAAAGGTCTAGTAAACTTTTTTTGGATGTTGACTTAACAGCCTTCCTCTCCTTAACTTTTCACACATGCAACTTTAATTCTTACTTAACTATCAACCAACTTTCCTCATAATCAATGTATTACATAAGTTGTTAACCTCAACCGGTGAAATTATTTAGAGAAGCTAGTGCACTGAAATGGCATTAATATTTATTAGCATTTAAGGAGATATCGCACAAAGAGAATAAAGACTAGTTTTAGTAACTGTATCAACCGAAAAGTCGTATTCTAGCCAAATGAAACAAGAAAAAGGAGAATTAGTCGTGGTAATCTAGTGAGGTCGACCTATAAATCTCTTAAGCAAACATTTTCATACGAAACAAAGTTCCGAATATTAACACGTAAATCTGCTTGGGAAACCCTAAGGAATTCCTTCTATGTCATCGATACATTTGTAGGACCTAACATTTCCCTCCGAATCGTTTTAAGCCGTATTTTATGCGTAGATTCATATACCAGTGTAGTTTTAATGATAGATGACAAGATAACTAGTTCTTTTATATTCTGAAATTTTTGAATTCATTAGATCCAGCATAATAATTTATTACTACATTGTCCAATATTAAATGAATAGGAAAATTATTTGTTATCGATTAGATGAAAAAGATTAAATAATATATGAGGATAATTTTTAATTTTTAAATAAAACATATTCCTTTGAATTACATGCCCGCTACTGGTTTCTACCTTTATGCTACAAAAAATACTAAACGAAATAGGTTGAATACACCTCATAAAAATACTAAATAATGGGAAACTAAAGATGTATATAGACCATATATGGATTAAATACGAGCTATATTAACCCTAGGCATTGTAAGTGGATGAATAACTATATTTTAATTTTGCCACAACGATCTTAGTAGGCATAACTTTGTAATTGAATTTTCCTATGCTTTACATCCCCAAAGGTATTCTTATTCAGGTAGCCCTCAGTTTGGATTTCCCTTGGGTCTGATCAGCACCGCTAGCTAGAAGGAAATAAAATGAGCATAGCATATAATTTTTATAAGTTATCAATAAGCCCAGCTACTATGGGAGCCAATTTGGCACAAGGAAGACATTGATTTCAAAGCAGACATTAACATATATTTATACTAGTGCAAAATATCAGTTGGACTATATAAATAAGGGGAATGGATTTATTAAGTAGCCAAATTAGTCAAAATATTCATTTATAGTTAGTATACATTTATTGAGCAAGACCAGAAAGTAAATTAGGGTAAATCCTATGAACCATAGAAGAAATGGTAAATTATATTAACTATGATAAATAATACTGTTTTTAGAATTCATATTTTATTTCCTAAGTTGATAAGCACGGCATTATGATACGTTTTTTAACTGTATATCAGTTTAAGTAAAATAAACTTAATATATAATAATTGAACTCCAAGGCGAATAAACGTCTAAAAAGAACAGAAGCTAAAAATCTTGAAGCGTTTAGAGATGGTGTAAAGACATTAGTACAATATTCGAAGGAATAAAGACGAAGAATACGTGGCATTTTGTAAGTTCGGTATTTCCTTTCTTTGTATAGTTTCTATTTGGCATTGGTTTTATAATTTGGTGATATTGGCAGGCAAACCAAAATAAATTCACCTAGTCCGGAGTGCATAGTATGCATGATAATTTCCGGAGTCGGACCGGGGACTTGGTACTTTTCAGGACACTTTGCCGGCATTTTTGATAGCATCGTCAATGAGCCCTCCAATTCATAGCACCAAAGTACAACTCAGCAAAGAAACAAATGAAATTGATCCTTTGATCAGCTGTATTATAAAAATTTGTGTTATCTTCTCTACTATTATGTAGTATACACCTATCTTATGTTATTGAATTACCACTTTACCAACATTTTTTAAATTGCATATTTAAATTTGGTATGGTGTGTCATTTTTTCTTGATTACATACGACCTATTCACACCTCATCGTTGTGCTAGAAATGTTGATCTGAGTCCGCCATATTAGTCTACAATCCTCTTTCCATAAGTTCTATTAAAGTTTCCTTCTTGATCCGGAGGTACGGTCTGCTATCTCTCCGATTCAAGGATTCCATTTGTCTCCTTATAACCTATCTGTGCTAATCGAAGCGTTATTTTCCACACTCCGCCCTAAGCCTCGCTGAGCAGGTCCCCAAAATTAGGATTCTCAAGCTAGATGGGAGGCAAACTTTAGGTTATAGATTATCATATCAACATATGACATGATCACCGGGTAATTCTCATGCTCAGGACTTTGCTTCACGTCCCGCCTCTATAAACAAACACGTCTATCGCTAACCAACTAACTCTATTCGCCGCCGCATCTAGTCTGCTTCTATCCATAATGCCATGTTTATGACTTCCTATGCTATGGTCTCTTGTGTACCAACCAACATGTGATGCGGTTCTAATTGTTTTGATTAGCTTCATTCTAGGCGTCTCTCCTTTGTTTGTGATTGTTCCTTTCTGGTATCCTTGCGACTTCTTTTCCTAAAATTGAAGAAATAACCTTGGTCCAATCGTCTTGTTTTAGCTGATCTTACTGTTGCCTGCTTTTCTCCTAGCATGTTTAGGCAATATACACAGTTTTCGCTGATCCTGCCTTCTTAAAGTTTTCTGTTCATTAGATTTTTTTCAATTAGGATATCAACGGCCTCTCGGATCTTGCGTTTTATCATATTTTTACCAAATGCAGTTAGTCTTTTAGTCGATTTATAGTCGACTTTGTGTCCTATCCGTGCAATTTGTTATGCTATTTCAGATCTTTCCGTATCCATATTTCTGTAGAGTCTATGACGTTCCTTGATTGGTAGGCTGGTTATTCCTTTTATTTTACTGATATACTTCTGCCCACATTTGGTGCATTTGATGCGATATACTTATGGGTATTACAGTTTGTCAATCTTCTCATGTTAAGTAGGCAGACTGGGGAAAAGTGTTGTCTTCTCTTTTGATATCACATTTTTATTCCATTTTTTTAGTAACGATCACAATCTTTGGCTTAGCTCAGATGATAGACAGATATATCTAGTTTTGGTCGTCCTTCTGATTCCTGATAGGATTTTCATATAATCCGAGTCGGAATCTGCTCCTTATAATCTCTACATGTTTATATATATATTCTATGGTGTGCCCGTTACTAAGACAAATTTGAGTCACTTTATCCTATTCCTCGTCCTATAATTCGGCGTCCGTCAGTCTGTGGTTATGATGAGGGTAAAAATTGATAATTATCTTCACATGTGAATTCTTTCTGAATAGTCTTCTCATGGTATGACCTCAAAATCCAGGAATGGTAGTCGCGTATCCTCCTACACCTTCATTGTAAATTTAATTATTTCATCAAGTTAGTTAATTAAATAGAGGAACTCATTCAACTTTCCATACTATACGACCAGAGTATAAAATAGGCATCCAGGTATCGCATAATCTTTCTTAATGGCAGTGGTCAATTCTAGAATTATCTTTTCAATTTATCTATGTATACATTTGCCACAAGAAGTGAGAGTATAGATCCCTTCGGTAGCCGAAATATTTGCTCATAGATATTGCCGTTAAATTTAAAATTGATGGTCCTCATTGTCAGGTTGCTAATTCTTGTTTACGATTCCTTTCATATCCTTTCTGCCTCCAGGATATACTCTTCACGCTCAAATAGCTCTATGAGGGCGCTTACTGCCTTCTTGCCTAAAATGTTTGTGTGCATGGATTGTACATCAAAATTTACCAACAATTCCGTCCCCACCAGCCCAATGTTTTTTATCCTTTGTAAAAATTCATATTAATTCTTTACGGTATTCGAAAGTCTGTTGTTTACATTGTCTAGCTTCAAGTAAATTAATTTTTCTGGCTTGTGTGTTGTTCCATGTTTTTTGTTGACTATTTATTTAGCAGTTTTCCTTATGTATCTTCGGTACTCCGTAGGTTGTCAATGGTCTTGCGTTATTTTCAATTAAATAGTTTTTCAACAATTGAGGGAATTCTCCGTTGTTATGCATTTCCTGTAGAATATACTTCAGTTTCCTGTTGATCTTAAAGGTTAAATAATTCCTTAATATTTGATGTTTACTCCGGTCACCAAGAGTACTTTCCATTTTCTCAGTCAGTGTTACATTTCTATTATCGCCATCGCTAATGTCCTATCCGCCTGAGGAACTATTTGTTCTTTCTTTTGTAATTTTTTGCGTATCACAGTCAATTCGCTTCTGTGTATTGTATCTTGATGAACCAGGATTATTGGGATTATTTCTATTTCCATCTT